TTGACACCTGAGACAAAAGCCGGATTTGCATTTGAGCCTCACCAAGCCTCCTGTGGCCTTTTCACTTTAAGTCCACCTTGGCAACCCAGGGTCTGGAATTCGGTCACCCTCCCGCCTTGACCCTCCTGTCCAGGGGCTCTCACACCCTCACATTTGACTCTGAGCAGAGTGGTTGTATGGGAGGTGCCCAGGCTAAAGGTGACCTCTCCAGCATCTTCTCTGGTGACCCCTGGAAGGACCAGGGCATGCATGTGGCCAGAGCTGCTCTGGCAGGTGGTTGGCAGCGCCTCTCTGTCACGGCTCCAGTGTCCCTTGACCCCAGCTTCTTGTGTCTCCACCAGCAGCACAGCATTCTCTCCCTCCAGGACATCAAGCTTCCGGGGCAGCCTTTTCAGTATGGGCCCTGAGATGTAGATGGGAGTCTATCAGCCTGGTGTCTAGGCTCCTGCCTACCTTAGCCTTGGCCTCCTCCCACTGGCCAGCCAACCTTTGACTGTCACATTGGCCACAGTGCGAACCCGGCCCCGCATCTCGCACAGGTAGACACCATCATCATCTGCCTTCAGCCTGTGGATAATGAGGCGCCTCACAGCGCCCTCCTCGATCTGCTCATATTTGCGGCAGGGCAGTAGCCGTTGGTCCTCTCGGAACCAGGCTGTGGGGATGCGGGAGTTGGGCACTTTACACTCCAGCACCACAATGCCATTCTCCCGGCCCTCCATGTCCTGCAGGGGCCTTGTGAAGCGGAGGCGGGGTTCTGTAGAGGAGAGACAAGAGAAGGTTCTGGAGAGGATCCGCCCTGCAGGACTGCTAAGCATCCATGAATTCATGCTGTTTCTCTCCCGAGAGCCCTCAGGCCTGTGCAATCACCAGAAGGAATGGAAGATGGCCTAACTTCTCATGTGGTCTGGACACTCACCAGCCATATCATGTCACCTTGATGTTCCTGTGCCTGAGTTTCCTGACTTGTAAAATGGGGAAGTGAAAGGGAGGGGCTAGACCAGATCAGTGATTCTTCAACCTGTCCTCTGGGCCTCTCAGAGGCATGTCACAAATTCTGCAAAGATCTGAGTTGATTTTCATTTGTAAAGCATTGTAACCATTCTCAAAACTGTATTGCAAAATAAGAAATACAATGCTGCCAACAAACACAGGGTTAACTTGGGTTGCTGGTGAAGCTAAGCCCTGGGAAGTTCCTCTGGCTTTATTTTCTTGAGTCCAAGTCAGCATTGGCCAGGCAAGTTTGGGCACAGCAAGCTGTACCAGTGAGGCCACTACAGCAGTCCAGGTGTCACATGCTTGACTGTGTGCCAAGCAGGGCTCACAAGAATTTGCCAACATTTTTTCCTCTGAGGGAGAAAGTTGGACACAATCAGTGAAGGTATAATCTCTCTAGTTATGATAAATTCTATGATGGAGAGCTTTCACTGCAGTGCATCTTTGGGGTGAATTGTTTTGTCTGAATTTTCTGTTTATAAATAACATAAGCATGTATTAGATATCACTGGCAGTTCAACTTTGCAATACTCAACAATTAGTTGGGCATGGTGCCACCTCCTTGTAATCTCAACTACTTGGGAGCATGAAGCAAGAAGTTCACATCTGAGTCCACTTTGGGCATCTTAGTGAGACCTTATCTCAAAATACAAAGGGCTAGAGGGTCAATGCAAAAGTCCTGGGTTCAATCCCCAGTACCACAAAAGAAAAAAGAATTGCAGGACATTTTTCCTTCCTCAAGTCTACCTCTCCTGTGCGTGGGTCTACAGGCTGGGGCCTTCTCCACAGACTCACTACAAATAAAGCCTCCATTCCAAATGTGCATATTCAATAAGCAGCCCCCTCATTCTCACTGACTAGTGTTACAAATATGTTATAAATTTAGATTTGGCAATTTGCAACCATAAAATGCATTTTGGGTGTGTTTTTGGTACTGGGGATTGAACACGGGGCGCTCTACCACTGAGCTACATCCTCAGCCTTTTTTTTTTCCTTTTGTAACAGAGTTCGAACTCAGGACCTTGAGTTTATGAGGCAGGTAGAAGCCCCACTGAGCTAAATCCCCGGCCTTCCTCAGTCTTTTTTATTTTTTGTTTTGAGACAAGGTCTTCCTAAATTGCCCGGGCTAGCCTCAAGCTTATGTCCTTCCTGCCTCAGCCTTTCCAGTCAAACTCTCCATTTACCAGCCTTACAGATAGGAATTCAGCAGGGGAAATAGGGCTAAAATTAGCAAAAGTTGAAAATCACTATGAGAAGAGTTCCAGGGCTTCAAGGCTTGCACATTACTCCTTAACAGTTTCCACCATCTGTCTGAAAATCTCCTGGGTAATTTGTAGTGACTTACTAAATGTGAATGCGGGGGTCCCACCCTTCAGATTTCTAGGCAGGATGGGCACCAAGTGGGGTAGGAGTAAGAAAGGCCCGAGGGTGCTGGAGGCCCCTTCCCACCACTGTGGCCCAGGACAAGCTACCTTTGACGTGCAGCTGCACGGCGCTGAGCGTCTGGCCAGCAGAGTTGCGCGCCGCACACACATAGAGGCCACAGTCCTTGGCCTGGCAGTAGAGCACCTTGAGTACAAAGCCACCGTCGCGGTCGCGGTACATGAGGCGGCGGCGGTCCGGGAGCAGCGGGCGGCCCTCCCAGTGCCATTCGATCTCGGGCTCGGGCTTGCCCATCACGTAGCAGCGGAACTTGGCGTGCTTGCCCTCGTTCACCCAGAAGGTCTTGGGCGCATATTTCTGCGGCTCCACCGTGGGCGTGCGGACCTCGTCGGGGTCCTCGGGGTCAGTCTCAGGGGGCTGCTGCACCTGGAGCAGCGCGCCGGCCCGCGCGTGGCCGTGTGCGTTGCGGGCGTGGCACACGAAGACGCCAGAGTCCGGCAGCCGGGCCGCCAAGATGCGCAGCACCAGGCTGGTGCCCGGGCCATCCGCGGAGCCGGCCTCCAGCACGAAGTGGCTGCGGTCCCACACCTCGTCCAGGGCC